ATCTAAACTCATCTTTATTAATGCCCATTTCATGAGACAATTCTCATTCACAACTCAATGGTTTCGGCTCATTATTTTTGTATTGCAATCTTCTCATTTAAAAGAATACAAAACCACTCAGATCTACCTTAATCAGTGGTTGGGTAACACTTCAATTTTAAATTCAAGGTGCTGAAAAACTATTATCTCCAACAATACTTGAAGAAGAAAAAAGAAAAGAAATTCGAATCTGGCCACTCAGTTGGTAATACTCTTTCTTTTTTATTGTTATTATTTTTTTAATATTTTTTTGATGAAAGATGTATAATATTAATTTCTTATAGTTTATTCTATGTGTAATTCACTCGAACGACATTTGGAAAAAAAACACATAGCCTATGCTACGCAATTTGTGAAGCACACCGTTTGTACTATTAATGACTTAAGCGAACAAATTAGAATATTATTTTGAGCAAAATTCAATTTGCCCCCATGTAATTTGATTTCGGAGCATTTTACCTCTCCATTGTTTAAATATTGACAGAAAATCCCCTTACGATTTTGGATTAAATTGCATCTTCATATTTTTTGTCTAATCTAATGGAGTGTGTACTGCACCCACCCAATTCAAGAGTGAGTTTCGATTTTAAAAAATTAAAATAGAAAATGACAACTATACCTTCATCTTCCTTACTGATTTCCAAATCCACCATCTTCCTCCTTCATTCTCAGATCCAAAAACTCTAACCCTAACCCGTTACTCGTTTCACTATTGACCATCGTTGTTGCCCCTTCTTCTCTCTCTGACCACCACCGTCGTCTCTTCTCCTCTTCCCAACCATCATCGCCTCCTCCTCTCGCCTTTCCAACCATTGCCTCCGCGTCCTCTCATATTTTTAACCATTGCTGACGTCCTCTCATATAATAAATTATGTTTTTCATTAAACATTATTAAAAATATCACTAATTATTAATTTTCAACGACAGTTTAAAAATTGTTATAAAAAATGTTATTAATTATAAATTTTAGCCATAATTTTAAAAAATCATCACAAAATGTCACTAATTTTTAATTTTTAGCAACAGATTAAAAAATCTTCATAAAAAAAAGTCACTAATTATAAGTTTCAGCGATAATTTATAAAAATCATGAGAAAAAAGTTACTAATTGTTAATTTTTAACGGCATACGTAAAAAATTGTCACAAAAAATTATTTTTAACAACAATTTTATTAGAATTTATTTTTAATAAAATTTGATAAAAATTAAGTCCAACTATTAACCGTTATTAATGATTTACTTTTTATTTTACTTCATGTAGGTTTACATCTTGACATTTAGATAGAAAGATATAACATAACCCCTATTATGCCCGGTAGGGGAAGAGCCAAAAATCCTCTCCATTGGGGGGCAGAAGAAAGACATAGGGTAGATTTTCACATCGGCGGACGGTGGCCGATGGGTAGGGCCTAAATTAAAATGATTAAGTAATTATTAAAATATAAATAAAGAATAATTAGCCCAATCAAAAATTATAAAAGTTTTTTTTTTTAATTTACACATATCTACTTTTTATCGGCCTATACTTAAATTAAAATGATTAAGTAATTATTAAAATATAAATCAAGAATAATTAGCCCAATCAAAAATTATAAAAGATTTTTTTTTTTAATTTTTTAATTACACATTCTATCTACTTTTTGTCGGCCTATAGTTCATTTGGTGCAATTTATTGGGGATATTTATAATTTTTTATGTAAAGAATATATGTCAGAGTGTTTGCTATAATTTTTTAGGATAAAATACCAACAAATCTCAAAATATGATTTTGTAAATTATTTAATCCTCTATTTTTTCATATGAATTCAAAAGTCTCATAAAAGTAGAAATTACGCAATAGGATAGTCATCCGTTTGGGTTTAATTTTTGAGAAATAAAAGTGAATTTCTCTAAATGTGAAATTACACATTCGGGCAATCCGGACTATAGAAGTTTTGGATTTTCCCTGTTTCTAGAACAAATCCCAAATTACGAACAAGAATGTAACACTCTAATAACATAACACTCCAATGTAACACACTAAAAAACTTCACTGTGTTTAGTTAGGGGGATTTGGAAAGAGATTCGAAAAGATAAAGGAAAAAAGTAGGTAAAATCTACTTATATTTCACATAATTTCACACACTTTTTCTCTTTCTCTTTTTAAATATCTTTCCAAATCCCTCAACCAAACATAGCGTTAGTGTATTTTTTTCCAAATATAACACTCCAATCATGTAATTCGAATCCTAACACTCCAATGTAACACGCTCAAATGCAACACACACAAAAACACTAAAAAATTTCTTAAGCCTTGTTTGGGATAAACTAAAAAAGTTAAAAGCTAAAAAAAAAATACTATTCAAGGGTAGCTTGTGGGGGAAGCCAACTATTCAAAAAGTCAAAAGGGTAAAATGGTCATTTTGATTTTACTATAATATTTTATTACACATCTTTTCGTAAAAAGTTAAAAAGTTATCCCAAACATACATTTTTTTCTCTACTTTTTTAATTAAAAAGTCAAAAAGTACACTTATATAGCACATCCCAAACAACTACATAATATATTTTTTCTAAATATAACACTCCAATCAATATAACACACACAAAACCCAAAAGTGAAATAAGAATTGAAAATAACTACACTCATTACATGATTCTGTATGCATACATGTATACAACAGAGCTGCTATGTAGCTCGAAAAGCACTTGGCCCGAAATGGCTCGAATCCAAAAACAGTGTTGTTTTGGATTTTTTTTTTTCTTTCTTTCTTTCTCTTTTATTATCTGTTTCTTCTCCCAAACTGAAATCAAAATCAATTTTTTTTTTCAATCAGACCACACATCATCATCATCATCAACACATCTCTGTTCTTGCTCTATACAGAAAAATCAAATGGGTTTTTTTTTTTTTTAATTTCTGGAATGCAACTGGGTTTCAATGGTTTAATGTTGGTAATCTTGATGCTCCTTCCACACAGAAGAGAGAGAGAGAGAGAGAGAGAGAGAGAGAGAATAATGTGTTTTAGAGATAAAAGAATGATGGGCCTTTTAGAAAGAGAGAGAAAAGAAGGAAGAGTGTGGGTTTTAGAGAGAGAAAGATGGCATTTTTAGAGAGAGAAAGAGTGAGAAAGAGAGGATGGTTGGGTTAAGCTAACAGGGAAAAGAGAGGATGGCGCCGGTGATGGCGATGCATCATCATCATCATCATCAACACATCTTTGTTCTTGCTCTGTATAGAAAAATCAAATTGGTTTTTTTTTTTTTTTTAATTTCTGGAATTCAATTGGGTTTCAATGGTTTAATGTTGGTAATCTTGATGCTTCTTCTACACAGAAGAGGGAGAGAGAATAATGTGTTTTGGAGATATAAGAAAGATGGGCCTTTTAAAAAGGAAGAGAAATGAAGGAAGAGTGTGGGCTTTAGAGAGAGAAAGATGGCATTTTTAGAGAGAGAATGAGAGAGAAAGAGCGGATGGCGCCAATGATGGGTGTGCTCTCTCTCTCTTCCCCCTTCCTCTTCTCTCTCTTTCTCTTTCTCTTCTTCTCTCTTCTCTCTCTTCGTCCCTCTGTCTGTCTGTTTCAGAGATATAAGAGGGAAAGAAAGAAAAGAAAAGAAAAGAAGAAAAAAAAAAAATCTACCCAAAACGATGTCGTTTTGGATAGTTGAGCCATTCGGGGCAAAAGAATTTCGAGCTACAAAGAATTATTCATATATACAATTAGTCACAAATGGTGCATACACTAACAAATCCACATCCCTAGCATACGCCGGAAACATCCACTACAAGAAATTAGTGATTTAGGGACTAATATTTAGAGACTAACTGAATTTAGTCTCTAAAAACCATCATTTAGAGACCAAAATAAATTTGAAGAGAAAATTATATAAACACCGTATACTCTTTTATGATAGTCTAAAAAGAATTATTTGAAGACTTTTAGGGACCAAAAAAAAGTTAAAGTTTATGTTGATTTGAGCACATGACCCCGTGTGTGAGGTTGGCAAAAGCTAGAGACGAATTAATTTGGTTGCTAAAGGTCGTCAAATACGCGGTTCACTCGATCGATCCCTCCATCAGTTGTCAAATACGTGCATTCTTAAGCTGGATTCCTTCCTTCACTACAATCGGTCTCAGCTAGGGCTCAATCAATCTTAGCTATTTCCTCTGTCTAGGACTCAATCAATCGATCTTCAGCTTCGATCGATCAATCAATCTTCAGCTTCGATCGATCAATCAATCTTTGTGCTCAAAACAGTTAGGACTCAATCAATTGATCTTCAGCTTTGATCGATCTCAGCTAGGACTCAATCGATCTTCAGCTTCAATCCGAATCGATCTTTGTGCCGCCTCGTATCAGAATCGATCTTCACCTCATTTTTGAATCGATCTGAGTTCTTTGGCTTCAATCCGAAGGTAAATAGCGATTTGGTATGTTTTCAATCTCTTTCTCTCTGCACAGACACATCATTTATACATGTACATATCTATATATATACTCCTCTGTATTCATTCAAATTGCTTGAATTTGAAATTCTGTATTCATTCAGAGCTATATAGGTACTTGATTTCATATATATATATATATATATATATATATTGTTGTACATGCATATGTATACTAGATTTGTGCTTTTGATTTTGGTGGTGAAGATTCTTGCTATAATATGTGACTGCTAATGAACTGTGGAGAAAGATGCTATGACGTTACATACATAAGCTGAATAATGAAAACAATGGCAGAAAATAAACAAAGCAGAACAAGTTCTACAATTGTCACCAACTTTAATGAATTCTAAAGGAGTCCAGATTTTTTTTTGAGAAGAATTTTTTGATCATACTACAACAAAGGAGAATTAAGTAGAAAAAAGAAAACTACTATACTCAATTGCACTAATTCATCTCTCCTGAGAATTAAATTATTTTCAAAAGTCTAGATAGAATGAATTGGGATTAATGCTTTCTTGAATTGGGATTAAATTATTTTTGGTTGCCTTCATGGTTTTGACAGATTGATGCTCATACTGGTAATGTTAGCGATCTTGCTTTCTCTCACCCAAACAAACAACTATGCGTTATAACTTGTGGGGAGGACAAGACTATTAAGGTTTGGGTTTATTGGGCATTTTCTTTCATGGAATGGTGAAACTGTGGACTGCAATCATAAAATCTCATGTCTGTAGGTCTGGGATGTTGCCACTGGTTCTAAGCAGTACACTTTCGAGGGTCATCAGTTACCTGTTTATTCTATGTGCCCACATACTAAGGAAAACATTTAGGTATTTTTTTTGTTCAAGGCTTACTTTGTGACTTTCCGTACAAGGGACCTTGACCCAAAAAAGGGCTACCCAAAGAGTTCAAAGTTAGAACTCCTTAGTTCTTTTTTCTTTTTCTAATTCAGAATAACCCTTATTCATTTTTTATATTAATGAATTATTACTTCGTTTCAAATGTTTTGGAATTAGAAACTTTCTTGCAAGTTTGAACTATTTTACAATGCTATTCCAATTTGTTCTGTAACATCTATTATCTATCTGAAAATATGAGGAATGTCACACTCAAATCCTCACTTTATGAGTGGTGTTCTACGCGGTCGTTAGACCTTTCCAATCTGTTTCTTATAATTAAGGATCTTTCTTTTTCTCTATCAGTTCACCTTTTCGACGGGTACTGATGGGAAGATTAAGGCATGGTTGTATGATAATTTGGGTTCAAGAGCTGATTATGATGCCCCAGGACATTCTTGCACAACAATGGCTTACAGTGCTGATGGGACAAGGTATATATAGGATAGGCTGTTAATTCACAAGAGGATCTGTGCTTCATTTGCATCTTTTCTGATCATGTTGAAAACTCTGTAGGTTGTTCTCATGTGGGACTAGCAAGGAAGGAGAATCATACATTGTAGAATGGAATGAAAGTGAAGGAGCTGTCAAGCGGACATATCATGGTCTTGGGAAGCGGTCTGTTGGGGTTGTGCAATTTGATACAACAAAAGACAGATTTCTGGCTGCTGGTGACGAGTTTGTAATCAAATTTTGGGACATGGACAATGTTAACCTCTTGACAACTACTGATGCAGAGGGTGGATTACCGGTAATAATCAAATTGCATCTCTTTTAGATTTGCTTCCCATCTTTCTGGAGAAATGTCTTGGTGTAAAGTAATAATCCTTGTATAAAAAACCTCTCAGGCTTCGCCTTGCATTCGGTTTAATAAGGAAGGAACACTGTTGGCTGTCTCAACAAGTGAGAATGGTGTCAAGATTCTTGCAAATTCTGACAGTGTTAGGCTTCTGCGTTCCATTGAAAGTCGTGCACATGCTTCTAGAATGGCTTCTGAGAGTGCTGCAAAAGTGAGTCTCTCATCAAATTTTCCTTGGCAACTTTGATAGGTACATGCTCTTTTTAACATGCATTATGTATCGTGCAGGCCCCCATAATTGGTACATTTTGTGCTTCCAGTTCAGCTGCTAGAACAAATGTTGGTGTTGCAGATAGAAATGCTCCAGCGATCCCTATGATTACACTGGTAAGCAAGGATACCTGTCAGGTGGACACTGGTGTGCTTCTTTCACAAAAGTTGCATGGTTTTCATTTTAATTATCCCATCTGTGCTTTGTTATAGATGATTGAATGATGTCATATGCCCAAATGGTCATATGTGAGTACTATTCCTAATGCTTGGTTAGAGTTTTTCAAAAACTCTTTTCAGAAAATTCTACTTTCTTATTTTTCGTGTTTTTTTGTTTTTTCTGAATTTTTTTAAGATTTTAAGCAATTTTTTTTACTTTTTAGACATACCTAACATAAATATACCTAAAAAGTAAAAAAATTGTGAAAGAAACCTTTTAAAAATTCACTAAATATCAAAAATACAACACATGCTTATAAGTTTTGAGTTTCCTGGATTTGTCATTTTCCAGATGAGTGTTTTGATTAGCTAGTGTAAGCTAGCTTTGGAGTTTAATTAGCCTTTAGCTTTTAAGGGGATTGATTGTTCCTGCGTTTTGTTTGTTTTGGTGGAAATAGTTTTAACTGTACCAACATTATTATCTTGAAATTGGATTGTTACTTTGAATAATCACTTCCACGGTTTCTGATTTGCCATTTTCTTCAAAGCAGATAGTGACTGAGTGACTGAGTGAGACACAGGACAGGATGTACTAGTGATTCTATTTTATTTGCATGATATTTAGGTAAAGCTGGTGCCACAAGTTTGAAAATTAAATATTAATCCGTTAATGGTGTGTCATGTTGTTGTAGATCAAATCCTCTGGTCTAGCCAGTCTAATGCCATAAAAACAGCAGAAAGACAGGGTTCAAATACCAATGACTGCGTAGCAGTTGTTCCATGGGTTGCTTCACAGATTCCTCTAACATCAGGAGCAGACGTTCCCAGAACTGAGGTCTCAGAGTTGATGGAGACTGAAGACATGGGAGAAGCTACCATGGATGTTAAGGAAAGCAAACCAGGGCAAGGATATGAGTTTAATGAGATGAGTGAAGGCATACATCAGTGGCAGCAGCAACACTGCATGATCCCACAGCTTCCTGAGAACACAACTACCCCCATTGTGTGGTATCGTTAACAAACAAACAACTAGGTGTGACCTGAGTGAGTACACACCATCTCCCCCTACAATGTAAATTTTTTTTTGTCAGTTCTCTGCATAATGCAAGAGAGCAAGCGTAGAGGATGGTGAAAAGTTTGAGGTTAGCTGAGAAAGTGGTGAATAGTGGACAGTTTGGTGGGGACGTTTTTTTGTTATGTAGGAACAAAGTCCAGAAGGAAGGATGTATTTGTGCCATGTTTTGCAGTGACACAAAAAATATGTTAGCTTTGTGTTGTGACCTATTACTACTCTACTCGTAGCAGTAGATGCATAATATCCCAACATTTTCCTTCCAAGTAAGTAGTTTGTATTATTTGGGTTTGGTTTGTGAGCATATATAGAGACGCATGCAAATTATTATTCGAGGTTGGATTCAGAATGTCAAAATCATTACATGTGCGCACAGGCATCCACATATAGAGAATACCCACATACAGAGAAAAGGATTAAGGTTTTATTTACAGGAATAAAAATTGCATGTTTTCACCTCCTCAAGCATTAGTGATTTAGGGACTAATATTTAGACATACTTGGATACTTCTAGCACGGATTGTTGTATTGCTGGTAGGTTTGTAAATATTTTAGTTTATATTCTTTTTTTGTTGGTTGTTTATTCTTTTCATCAAATTCATATGTTTGACTTTGATGTGTTTTTTCTATACGCCAACATTTTAGAAGTCTCCCTACGATGGAATCAGCCCTTGCAAACCCACATGAAGATATCGAAAAAGAGGCGATACCTGTGTCAATTATGGGATGATAAGATGTACCAGGTAATTGTTGAACACACTTGTAATGCACTTGCACACATTTGGGCTGCTGATGATGCTACAGCTGCTGCTGTGGCGGATGCTGCTGCTATGCATGTAGCTGCTGCTGTTACTAAAGCATTTGGGCACATGGACTTGATTTCTTTTGAATATATTTTTAAACTTCATGCAGGAGAAATGTCAGAAAAACAAGGAAAATCGGTTTGAGCTTAAAGTCCTCCATACAGCTGGCTCAAAGGCATTTAGAAAGGTGCAATACGATGAGGTAAACAACAGACCTTTAAATCATAGGGTCTACATGGCACTTTTTTTATTTCTTTTATTTGGTGATGTATGTACTCCATAGGATACTAACTATAAAGGTTTTGACAGCGAGACAAGGATGGAAAGGAGCTTGGACTTGTTGATTTGTATCACAAGACACACTTTAGTCAGAAAAGGCAAGCATGGGTCCATAATGAAGCTGAAGTTAGACATGTAAGAATTTTTTGATGTTAAATATAAGTATTTTCCTATTAATGATTACTCGACTAAGGCTCATGTGTTGTGAATCTTTAGCACTAAGAATGAACAATGTAAATGATTAGGACTAGATCATCCAAAGGTTTTTTGAGTTACAAGTGGCTACTAGATTATGTCCTTGCTGCCCTGGCTGTGTATTTGGTATTTGGCAATATAGAGAAGGCTACCTATTGGTTACGTGCTTAGATTATGATAACCTCATTGTGTTGATTCTAGGTGACTCACTTTCTTGTTGTGTTGATTCTTATTATAGCTCACTACTACTCCAAGTACATTGAGATAACGTGTTTTTTCATTATTTGTAACTTATTTGATTATGAATGACTATTGATTATTTAATGAGGTTATGTTGTGTTGATTCTTATTATTTGATTTTTCTTTTTGAATTTTGGATTACAGGGATGTCCAAAGGGTGTCACACCTAAGCACAGCTTGAAGCCTCTTGTGCCAAGGCTGTCTCATATAAAGCCTGATATTGATGTTGAGAAAATGTTTTTTTAGAGATTCTCTTTGAAGAAACTATTGCTATTCTTCATTTAAACTGTTACTACTTTGATTTGAATTTGGAAACTTTCAGTTTTAATTTTTATAAAATTTTACTTTCTATATACTCATTATGGTTTGGGAATAGAGTGCGTTTGATATGTGAATGTCAATTTTTTTTTAATATGATTGGATGACATTTAATTTTGTGTATTTGAAGCTATGAGATTAAATGATTACAAAATTTTAATTTTGATTTTTAGCGACGAAAATATGTTGTAGAGAAAGTTATATGTCTTTTAGCGACCAAATATCATTGTCGTTAAAAATGTCATTATTTTGTTTTTTGCGACCAAATTGGGACATTTTATGACGAAATATTAGCGACCAAATGTTTAGTCTTGTAAAATTAAACATTTTGTGACGATATAAAATTGGTCGCTAATTGTCATTTTTAGTGACGTTTTCAAAAATTTGTTGCTAAAGACTTTCCTAGACGCACTTTTAGTGACTGTTTTAGTGACGGAATTAATTTTGTCACAAAAACTATTTAGAGACCAAAATAATAGTTTTAAGGACCAAAATAATTGGTCGCCAAAAGTCTTATATGTTGTAGTGATCAAACAAACAACCCAATGAAAAAGGGGTGATTGTTCAATAGTCTCAAAGTATGGACATGTGGTGCTCCATAAGGTTTTGATTGGTAGAGAGAGGTAGGAGCCTATGATTTATATTAGGGATAGGGGAACAACATAAGGTTAAGTAATTGATGATTGACTTGGAATATGACCACTTACGCTGTGTTTGGTTGGGGGATTTGGGAAGGGAAATGGAAAGGGAAATGGAAATGAAAGGAAAAGGAGAAAGAATTAATAGAATTTCAAATCCCAACTATGTTTGGTTGTGTTGGTTATAAAATAAAATTGATGTCCTAAAAGATCTCCTATTTCTTTATTTATTTCTCACCCCCTTTCTTTTCCTATATATTTTTTATTATAACCAAACATAAATAGGATTACATTTCTCATTCCTTTTCTAAATCCCACCCCAAAAACCCCAACCAAACACAGCATTAATGTTTTAGAATTATTGAATAATTTCCCATAAAAAAGATCCCACAAAAAAAATGAAAACAAACACCACACTCATCTTGTCACAAATCGAACAGAGCAGTACAATGCAACCCACCATCACTACCATGAAAAAAAGCAGAAACGTAAAACTATTTCTTGAAGAAATGACGTTTCTCACATTATACAAAAACATCATCAATTGAAACATTTTTACCGTGAATCACTCTACACAAATCACACCCCCAAAACAAAAAAATGAAAATGTTACATACTTTACCCTCCCACACCCACACGCCACACATCAACAAAATCAAAATAAATAATACAAAAAGAATACAAACATAAACTCCAACATCACCAAATTAAATAAAATATATCTTACCAATTAAAAACGATCAAATAGTTCATAAGAAAAAACACATGACTAAATTTATCAATATTATCTCATTGGGATTTAATGATAATTTTTCCAATTTTTTATTACAATTTATGAGATAAAAAAAACTTTAATAAATTTTAAAAACTAATTATTGAAAAATTAGGAGAGGAATGTTATTAACATCTATTTTCTAATTTTTAATTTTTAATTTATAAGAAGGTACATCAGCCGGCTCCTATTAATTATTTAATTCTTATTCAGTGTACTTGTGGCTGTAAAACTTTATAAGCGGTCTACTTAAAAACAAAAATACTATTGGCATCGTTTGGGAAGAAGAATATGGGGTTTTTTTGGCTATTTTAACCACAAAAGACAAAATAGACTATTTTAACCACAAAAAACAAAATATCACATCCAACCCATAATCATTACTCTCTTCTCTCACAAAAAAAGTCAAAAAAGCCAAAAAGTCAAAAAGTCCTTCCCAAACCAAGTTTTTTAGTCCAGGCTAAAATAGTCAAAAAAGCCAAAAAATCAAAAAGCCAACCCACTTCCCAAACCAACCCATAAGAAATCAATCTCCTTTATCTAGTAGAGATTATTATTATTATTTTTTTTAAATATGATTTCACCAATCAAATTTCACAAATTTAATTTTTTTTAGTCATTACATGACACATTTTAAAGGACAACCCTTGCACAAAAGTGATATTCCTCAACTTCTTACATTGTGTTTGGTTAGATAATTTAAAAAGAGATTTTGAAAATGAAAGAAAAAAAGTGTATAAAATTAGATGAAATATAAATAAAATATATTTATATTTCACCTATCTTTTTTATTTTTCCTTTAAAATCTCTTCCCAAAATTTACCAACTAAACACATCATTAAGCGTGCCAGATTAGATTTGGAAGGCCATTACATGCCATGCAATTTTTTTTGAAACCATACTATTTTGCACGTGATGATCTCACTTTGGTTGGAACCATAAGTACTTTGAGACTACTAAATTTTTCGCCAGAAAAAGGATTGGCCGACAATGAATAATGCAATATGTACTAATTAGTATATTAACTAGTATATCAATTGATAACGTGACATAATTTAAGAAGTTTTTAGTATTTATAATATGATTAATGAGTGTGCTCAATAATAATATCATAACTAATGTTGGTACACTAATTAGTACATATAGCACCACCGGCCAACAATTGAATCTATGAAATTTCAATTAATTAATTAATTAATTTTCTTTTTTTTAAAGATGGAATTGGGAATTGTTTCAATAACTTCATGATGGCAAATCTTAATTAGCAGAAGATTGGCAATAACACATCCTCTACCCATTATGCAAATTGCACTAAAAATGTTAAACAAATCATGGTGTTAAGCACATTAAGCACTAATGGAATTCTGACATTTGCTTGATTCGATATGCATTAAGCACTCAATAAGCTCCCATTTGATGTCAAGATCAAAGTTTTGGTTTGATGTTCTAGTCGTCTATTTGTAAATTATGATTATAATAACGGGCATTATATTTTTAAATGAAAGAACCATAATTAATCAAATTGATCTATATAACAATTTTGTATAATTTACTACTAGCGTAAAATCCGTGCTATACATGAATAAGTAACAAAATGTGATAAATAATACTAAACATGTTAAAAATTAACTAAATACTATAATATTTGAAAAAATCTAGAATCTCCTAAATATTAATTTGTGATTGTGTATCAATTTTAAGCAGTAAATAACAATCCCAATCAAACAATCAAAACAAATCGACACAACGATTTTAACGTGAAAAAATCACAATTAGAGCACCTCCAATTGTGATAAAAAAAATCACGGGCCAAAACTACAAAACAATCCACTAAGAAAATAAAATGAATTATACAAATGTACTCTCAATTATCTAACGAATCCACGCCCGAATTGAACTAATCCTTTATGCCTCTTCTACCACGGTCTTCACCTCGGAATTGTCTTGCCCAACGTTGAATCCACAATGTCGATGTCGAATCCACGACGATGAGCCACTCCAGATCCATCAAAGCTTCAGGCCCAAATTCTATGGAATCCATCGAAGAACAACTCTCTCTTTTGTATTGAATAAATAAAACAAACAAACCCTTTGATATAATCCACTCAATTCATGATTAAATTCTCATAATTATCAAAGGAAACAAGCAAAGAAGCCTCAGATGAAAACCTTAATACCCAATAACAAGATTTGGAAGTCGTACCCTAAAATCGGACCGAAACACATATTTATAGAAAACAGATCTGCGATCTCCGCTCGAGCGCAAGAATGGCCACTCAAGCAGATCTATGCTCAAGCGCAGGAATGGCCGCTAGAGCAGAAAAAAACAACTCTCAGTACTTTTGCAGGCTAGTGAAACTTCTGAAAGGTCGCGATCTCCACTCGAGCCCAAGAATGGCCACTCAAGCGGACAAACAACTTCGACTGCAATTTTGCTTTTTGCTTCGGGGGCGATGCTCTTTGACCCTGCCTGGGCACTGCCCCCTGGATCTCTGCAAGCTGTCTAGACAGCTCGATCCCCGACATAGTCAGCGAAGTGACAAACATGATAGAATTAACATCACAAACTTCTCTACAAGGCACAATTCGAGTTGGAATCACATCTAAAACTCATAGCCTCACTGAAATAAAAGATCGAATACAATTACAATTGAAAGGAGTATTGTCAAACGGGATTGTCAAGAATAAAAACCTAATAATATTAATTTAATGGATACTTAAATAATAGATTTAAGTGATTTCACTATTTTTATATAAATATATAGGACTAATTAATTTTGTTGAAATACACTCAATCGAATAAACTCAATCGAAAAGGAGGAGTAAGAGTAAAATTTTATAAATATAAGATAAAGATATTAAAATAAAATAAAATAAAATAAAAAATTTAAAATTTGAAGATGAATATAGAAAGAGAAAATTACATAAATCTTTGAAAAATAATAAATTCAATTGAAAATCAAGAGCAAGAG